TGTAACACTGTACACAACTTGTTCAGCCAACTGGTCCTCAAGTCTACCTATCGTCTTCCGCAACTCACAGTTCTCCTCAACCAACTTCCTCATTTCGTCATCTTTAATGTTGAAAACACAAGTGAAACCACCTACTATATCAACCGCTTGTTTTTCTTTCAACCTTTTCAACTTCTCAACCTCTTCCTGCAACTTAATTACCATTGAATCTTTTAGTTTCACTTGTGTCTTGAGGTTTTCAATTTCACCTAATGCTTCTCCAAGTTTTACGTTCTCACTAATCTCGTGCATAACAAGACTTGAACGGCTTACTGTCACCCCAACCCCTTATTTTCCATGATTACCAATAACCATATCAGCCCGACTGTGGGTTGTGTCGTCACTGCCACATACACCTAGTTTGGCACCAACCCTGGCAACAAACACATCGTCACTATCATCATTACCCACACTCATTTCATCATCGGCCCTGTCGTCCCCAACTACACCATCAGTCCCACCATTACTATCACGTCCACCAACTTCCCTATTTGCATCTACATTCGACTTCGGTCCTTTTTCTATATCTTCCCCCGCTATGATAACTTTCTTGTACGATTCATTTTACAAGGCGTCCAAGCATCATCTGTAACACATAAAACAACATAACAACCCAAAATTACACATGGATAACCCCAAAAAAATAGTATATTTCGAAACCACAACTGACAACAAACACCATTAATACACGTACCTGGAACTGTGATGTGGCCGTCAAATCCAACCCACGCGTCCTGGCCAACAATGTGCCTATGTTCCATTTCAAAAACCTAGGAAACATGATGGGTTTAGCTGTCGCCACAATGTCGGTGTGCTCACACAACCAATACTGCGTTAATTCAAAACCAACCAACAGTCAACATAATGCAACACCCCAATCACAACAACATACACCATGATATTAGAATTAAGTTTTGAAGAAATAGTAAGTTTACAAACTAAATAATTCGTTTCTGTCAGTACATACCAGGAAGGCAATGATGCACCCTGTAACTTTCTCCGGTGTCCGGTAAAACTCCCACACTGATCCCATTAAATTGTTCAGAATTGCATTTGTCCAATCATACATTTGCAATGTGTCCAAATTATCGATGCAATGCACAAACACCCAACTAATCGTCCTACCGGACGTTGAGAAAAACAACTTCACACAGAAATAAAGACATAACAGTTTAGCAGTGTCTTCCTCATAACGTACCGTTTTACCTTTAACAGCATTATCAAGCAAATTCTTAATCAGGCTTGCAGTTATGTGGCTTACGCCACTACACTGCCGCTGTATGAAGTCTGAAGCCGGCCTTGTGCCTAGAGTAAGGTCGACATGTTGATCACCACATTGCAACCCAAACACCAACCTGATGTTCGCCTTCCTCAGTTTCATTGGCCGACCCCTAATATAGAATGCATCGTCCTTCCGATTAAATGCCTTCAGAATCTTAACCACAATATCGTCACATTTCCTGTACTCGTTAAAGTCCGGTTTGTTAATAATGATGGCTTCAAACATAAGCCAGAATGGCGTCTTCCGCAACTGCCGGAAATGTCCCTCATGCAACACTAATTCAGACACCACCTTAATCACCCATGCCATGTTTGACCGAAAATTTATATGGTGAGTAGCCCTCTTAGGTGACACACTTCTAGGGACAACATTTTGCGGTTGTTTGAACAACACACGCCCTTGCATTTTAACACTTAGTTTCGACGATGACGGGCCACCCACTGCCTCCAACCGTCTACGTTCAGAAGACCTAGTCCACGGGCTCCTCATCCGTGCAACTTCTGCAATTACAAACACAACATTATTAACTACATGTTATGAACATTACAGGAACACATGTCACAACTAACTTTCACACCACTAAAACAAACACATATTATCGGCACCACAAATCAAACATTACATCACAGTTCACAAAATCAACTATCCAAACTCATGTAAAATAAACTTTTAAATTAGTCCAACATGCACTTCAAATTGACAACAATTCAATTTCCAACTATATAACTCAACCACTAATTACCAAAAATTCATTGTACGTGTAACATATCTCAGAACCACCCAACCGATGTTACATATCCAGGACACCCGTGCCACCAAACTTCATGTCGTCTAAACAGTGTAGACACCCACCAACCATCACCCCCAACAAAATAAGTGACACATGCATTTATTCGTCATGGCACACACACTATGTCCCAATATATAACAAACCCACAATACATACATCATGCCCCTAATAATATAAACAAAGTGCAAACAACAAAAACCCCACATCAATACATATAATTTGTTCGTATAACACTATGTGCCTCAAAAGGCAAACATCAAATTAAACCCATTTTACATCTTAACATAGTGTGTGGGCCGTGGTGTGGACCCAACACATGTCTGCTACTATATTGTCTCAACGCGCACATCCAATGTTGTGTCCATCACAAAAGCCCCCAACAAACATAAAAAACAAAATAGCATTAGGCATTCATTAGAACACAACCCAAATCCCATGACATAGACACCCTACACACACACTCGAGTGCCATACACCTCTCGCACAAACATCACCCCAACTCTTACATGTGACATACGCATGTTGAAACCCCAACGTTTAACCCTACGAAAATGAAGGTTCAAGGAATATCACTTACGCTTGTTTGTCATTTTCACAGGCTGATCGATTCGTTAGGTCAACCCTCCGAAGAAAAAAACCTCCATCCACCACCGCACAGTGTAAACCCTAAAACACGTCTACAACCACCAAAACCCAAAATACCCACAACCACCACACAATCAATCGTCAACAACATCAGTCAATTTCAAAACACCAAACCCCTAAGATTCACACAATCGTTCAAAACAAAATCACAAAAAACGGCAACTGCGAAATTGAAGGGATTTGCCGACCTTCTGGTTTTGAAAATTCAGTGACCAAAATTGGGAATGCCATATTACACAACAGGCACAAACGACGGGTCGGGTTACAACTAGTCTGTTGTAACACCGTCACACACGTGCCAAATAATAAAAGCTACTATAGCCTTTTTTCCAATATGACACCCAAACACCTCCTACAACAAACTACGTACCATCAGCATATAAAGAGGCATTTTAGTAAAAACACATGCAGTAGGACCAAACAGTCTAATAAATATCTTCCAGGACTACATAGATCACCTTTTCACATTTCGGGATTTATTCATAACTTTCCCTAAATTCAATTAACTTAAGTTATAATTATTTAACTTAAGCTTTGATTAATTAAATAAACTGATTGAGCCGATATATATATTAGCTCACATTCTTGAGCTCAAAATATGAAGGAATTAGTGGGCTTTATAGAGAGAGAGAGGGGGGGAGAGAGAGAGAGAGAGAGAGAGAGAGAGAGAGATACAACTTGAGAAAGAGAGTTTTTTTTTTAGAGAGCTTTAGGAAGACATTAAAGAACAAGCATAAAGCTTCATAATTCAACAAGTTAAGATAGGAATTTCTTAAATTCTTGAATTTAAGACATCTACATTCATATCTTCTTGAAAGTACACTTAATTGAGAAAGAATCATGCATGATTAAGAATGTATTGTGATGTAAATTGAAATAGGACACCTATATGAGTTTGTATAGTTGGATTTGAAGAAAGTAGTTCATGAACATGTCATGCATAGTATAAATTTATAACAAATCATGTTTAATTGAGAGTTTTTGGGTGTAAATTAATGTTAAGAATTCATATGAGCATAAAAGTGAAGAATTGAAAGAATTGAGTTCGCATTTTGCACACTGTCCGCTCAAGCGCCCAAGGGGCTCGCTCGAGTGGCCAAGCTTTTTCAGCATATTTTGACATGTTGTTTCGTGTTTACATCTTTGCTTCTGTCTTCTTCTAAGTATTTCTAAACATGAATTATGACTCATTAAGGTACTGATATGTAAGGAAACAATATGTATAATTGAATTAGAATGAGAAAATAAAGTATGTGATTAGAACAATGTGTTCCAATGTGTTTGATATATGTGACATGTAGGTTTGAACATTATGTAAGGACACCAACCTATCCAAGGTGAGTAATGTCATTGTAAAGGATATTTTCGTATTCATGGTATTGAAAATGCTACATTGTGAAATATATGTTTTGTTTACAAAATGTCTGATATGAGAAGTAATTTTATCTTCAAAATGTTAAATTAAGCTATGGAGGTTCGAAGTGGATATGAAATGACAAGTTTTCTGAGAAATTATGTTTGATACGAATGAATGAGATTTCCTATTTATCATCGAATGTGACACCATGAACATGTGCTTGATTTTCATAAACTTCCATTATGTTTATGTCGATCCATAGTGGTCATTATGTCTATGTCGACCCGTTGCGGCTGTTATGTCTAAGTCAATCCGTTGCGATCACTATGTATATGTCGATCCGTTGTGATCGTTATGCCTATGTTCTCGATCCATTGTGGACGTTCTATTAATTTGCTAACGAGTACTATTAGATCATATCACGAAATGAAAGTGACACTGAATGGTATGAAGAACTTTATAACTTCTGAATGTATATGTTTGATAATACTTTGTTTCATCATGAACGTTTTGTATAGTATTTTGCCAAAGGTCTAGGTGCTGTTTGGTAACACATACGTTTTCAATTTTTTGTTTATATTTACAAAAATTTTAAAAACTCAAATAAAAACTTGTTTAGTAAAATTTTTGATTTATAAATTAGTGGTTTCAGTTTATAAATTTGGCCAAAAAATGAAAACACGAAAAATGTGTTTCCGTTTTGAGTTTTGAGTTTTTTTTTTTTTATCACCCAACACTAGCCACCACCCGCCACCATTTTCCACCACCGTCTTCCGACACCACCACCCAACACCCACCCCCACCACCCACCACCACTACTCGCTACAAAGTGTTTTTTTTAGTTTATGTTATCATTGTGATTGATTAATTATTGGGTTTGTTAAATCTGTGTTCAAGTGCTTATTAAGATGCTTCCAAGTTACTACCAACATGTTTGTCGGTATGAAAACTCACTAGTGACCAAATTCTTCGGTGTCCATTGTGTCAAACCTGTGGGTGGCGTGAAGGTATGTGGTGTGGTATTGGTAATCACATTGTTCTAGTTCTACTGGTTTATTCATGAATGGTAATTTGTCATGCTTCTAATTAAATTCCGTGTGATTGGAAATCAGACCCGATTTATTGTGATGGGAAACCTTTGCTGCTCAGAGTATCGAATCCATAGACGATTTGACCTGAAAGGATCATCTCATGGACGCACGACAAATAAGCCTGAAGGAGAAATTGATGAAACAACTACCCTTAAGGACCTGGATCTCAATTTTGTGTTTCGGCTCCAACGAAACTGGTTCCAAGAACTTATCAAGTTAGTTTTACAGGCTTTAGTTTCTTGGTACATTTTGATTTCTAGATTTTACTTCATTTATTTCATGCTTCCGGAACCACCCACCCACCACCACCACTACTACTTGGGTTATATATAACGAAACTGCCACCACCACCCACCACCCGCCACCATCACCACCACCACCTATTCGTTACCACCCACCACCCGCCGCTGTCACCCATCCACCCACCCACCCACCATCACCACTCGCCACCACCTAGCACCTACCACCACCCGCCATCCCCCACCCACCTGCCACCACCACCAACCACCCGCCACCACCACCACCACCACCCACTCGCTACCACCCACCACCCGTCACCGTCACCTACCCACCCACCACCACCGTCCACCCGCCACCACCCGCCACCACCAGCTACCTACCACCCACCATCACCACTTTCTACCACTGTCTTCCACCACCACTTGTCACCACTTGCCATTTCTCACTCTTTTTTATATTTTAATTTTTTTAAAACATTTTGTCAATTACCAAACACGTTTGTAGTTTATGTTTTTCTAAAAATAAACAAAAACCAGTTTATAAAAATTTTGTAAATATAAACTGAAAATGTAAATGTTACCAAACACACCCCTAGTAACGCTTTTGACAACGTACTGTGCTATGTGTTTTTCTATGGAAAGTTTACTGAAGGTTTATGGAACTTTATTCATTAGTAAAAGTATCCGTAAAATATTTTGAACATTGTTTTGCTTATATAAGCTGTGAATCTTTACATTGGGATTATTCACTGGGTTCTACCTCACTGTTTAATATATGTATGTAGGTGATCGGGCACTGGATCAGAGTTAGTGGCGCCGACCCGAACTCTCTTTTTGTCAAGCCAACTATAGCGTCTCACCGCGAGTTTCCAAGCCAACACATGTCAAGGCTTTTTGGGGGGTTCAGATTCACCCTTTTAAAATCAGTCTAATGGCAAGAGTGGTTTATGACTTTTGTTTGTACTGTTTTGATTATGGGATTTAATTCCCTAACTTGTGTTTCATTTTGTATATAAGTATTTATGGACTTAAGTGGTTGTGCATACATAAATATTTGGAAGTGGGTTTGTACATTTAAGTCTCCACAGCTCGTTGGACGTTATTTTCTATTATTGAATTGGCTTTCGCCAGCCCCTTTTATTGTGTTATTGTCATTATTGTTAAGTAGGCCTTTAGTAATCACGGATTACTGGCTAGTTACGACGCTAAACTTATAGGGGCGGGTTTGGGTCGTGACAGCTGGTCCAAAACAGACAACATCTGGGATAAGAAGTCATTGAGAGACTGACCGGGTGCCTAGCGCATGTAATGAAGAATCTGCAACAGTTGATATTGATGAGCATGTCCAGTGGTCTGATAACGTTCCTTCAAGAAATCCCAAATTGTTTTGGCAGAAGAGGTGAGGGAATCATCATTCTAAAAGCATCCAAGCTGAAGGCTGATGGAAGGAACAGAAGTGGCCTAGAACCATGTGATAATCTGGTAGTTCTTTCATTTCCATTCATCAAGACGTTCATCGAAAGCAAATACAGTCTCTGTTGCTTCTTGGATGGGTTTAGAAAGTGCACCAGTGATAAGACGCCAAAGTCGCTTCCCTGTGATGAATCCAGAGAGAGGTTGGGCCCAAAGAACATAGTTGGACCTATCAAGTGTAACAAAGATTGAATGGATGTTGTCAGAACGATCCATGATGCTCAAATGAGGCAAAAAAAGAGAAGAAAAGGCTGTGTAGAGTTTGATTTTGCCCAAACATAAACACTAGTAGATTAAGGAGGTCGAAAATAGTTAGGACAAGTTCTGATCGAGCCAAAAAAATGACCAGAACGGCAGTGAATCGGCTGGTCAAAGTGGGTAGACTGAGGTGGTCAACCAAATTTAGGGCTGATGTCATAGCAAAGGGAGATGACGTCACAAAACGCGCAGCGCACGTTAGCAAGCAAGGGCAGCGGCATACTGAAGACCAAGGCTGATGTCAGTGATGAAGGCAAAACACGTGGCTCACGTTAGCAGGTGAGGCCGCAGTGCAAGATAGCACAACGGAGGAGCAAAATGGCATGTAGGGCACGTAGGAAGAGTCACAACGCATGACTAATGTTTGAACGGCGTGTACTGCGTCATATGGAGGTGATTCTGGCAGCATTGGCTTCGTCTTAAGAGATGAAGAGGATGGTATAGTCCAAACGTTGAATCAGGGATGGACTGGATACGTAGAAACCAACGTGAGACAGAATCAAGCTACCAGACAGAAGAAAAAAAACATAATGAAGAATAAGATAGGGCTATGAGATAACCCTCGGCTCTGATACCATGTTAAGTTTTTTGGCTAGATGTCAGATGGATGACAAGAATGCATTTCTCAGTGGTGATCTCATTAGAGTCTTTATCAGATAGATATCAAGAATGCATTTCTCAATGGTGATCTCACTGAGGAAGTTTCTATGCCACCACCTCCTGGTTCTTCTGTTCCATCAGACAAAGTTTGCAAACTTTGCCGTGCTTTGTGTGGTTTGAAACAAGCTCTGCATGCTTGGTTTGTCAAGTTCAACTCTACTATTCGTGATTTTGGTTTTTCTTCCAATGTCCATAACTTTGCTTTGTTTATACGTAAGATGGAACGTGGTACTACTTTCCTTCTCCTCTATGTGGATGATATGATTGTCATTAGAGATGACACAGTGGGTATTTATAGTCTCAAACAGTTTCTCAATCGCTAGTTTGAGATACAAGATTTGGGTTCGCTTAGCTACTTCCTTGGCTTGGAAATTTCCAAAGATTCCTCTGGTTATTTTCTTACTCAGACCAAGTATACTTCTGATCTCTTAGCTTGTGCTAGCGTTACCAATTGCAAGACTGCCATTATTCTAGTTGATCCTTAGACTCATCTTACACCCATTAACGGTCCCCTTGTCTGATGTCACTTTATATCATCATCTAGTTGGCAGTCTTGTTTATCTCATGGTTACTCGTCCAGATATTGCTTATGCTGTTCACATTGTCAGTCAGTTTATGGCTGTTCCTCGCTCTCCAGACTATGATGCTCTGGTTCGCATGTTGCGCTATCTCAAAGGAACTTTGTTTTATGGTCTTCACTACTCTCCTCACTTTTCTCTATAGCTGCATGCATTTTCTGATGCCGATTGGGCAAGGGATCCTACTGACCGTCGTTCCACTACTGGGTTTTTCTTTTTATTGGGCAACTCTCTCATTTCTTGGCATAACAAGAAGCAAACCCTTGTTTCTTGTTCTAGTACTGAGGTTGAGTATTGTGCTCTTGTTAACACTGCTCAGGAGCTTATATGGCTTCGTTAGCTTCTTTTTGACATAGGTGTTTCTAATTCTGCTGCCACTAATCTTTATTATGACAATCAGAATGCTATTCAGATTGTACATAACAATATCTTCTATGATCGCACCAAGCATATTGAGATTGATTGCCACTTCATATGACAGCATGTTACTAGTGGCCATGTTCGTCTTCTCTTTGTTACCTCTACTGATCAGACTGCCGACCTTTTCACCAAAGCTCATCTTCCAAGACGCTTCTCTGATCTCCTTTCCAAGCTCAAGTTGATATTTGACTTATCACCTTGAGCTTGAGGGGGGGTGGTAGCTATATATTATTATTTTATACTTATCTATCTGTATTGTAGATATATCTCATCTCATTTTCTATACTTATCTCTGATGTATCTCTATCTCATTTTGTATACTTATTTAGGTTTCTTCTCAGCCTATATATACAGGCTTCTTGTGTTTCATTATTCAATACAATATAAAGTTTCTCTTTTCTCTTCTCTCTCTACTTTCATAACAGTAAGAGAAAAAATAAAATAATTATATTTTTGATGTGATATTTTATTTTATTGATTTTTTTAACATTTTTTTATCATTTAGTGAAATGATTATGTCCCAATCATCTTGTCAAACGGGAGGGCTAATAATCAAATACATATTATTCTCAGCTAAATAATTCAGCTATTATTTATCTCAGGACTAACGGTCTATTATATTGCAATCTTCCCTTATTCAATCCATTCAAACAAACAACCTTTATAAAAAATTTAATAGTTAAAAATAAGGGTAATACGAGGAATACAAAATTTGTGACGTTCACACCAATAACTGGATTTTGGATGGGTGCTATCCTTTATAGGCACAATCGTGTTGTGAGTCTTTGAAGGCGTGTCTCAAATTTATTTTAATAATTCGAACCGTTCACAGTGTAAAGTTTGTTAAGTAGATTATTCATGAAGAAATTCAAGTTAGTTAGATATTTGTAACTCACAACAAGGCCACATTTGTATTTATAAAAAATAAACGGTTAATATGATTTTATTAATTTTTTAAGATTATTATTTGGCTCGATCATGGGTTATACTTATTTGATTAAATTCATTTTTTTATATAAATAATATACTCAACGAATCATATAATGTCAACTATTCAAATCATTAAAATATGGTCTAAATAAATCTCGCAAGATGCGACAGTACTCGTATGATCACAGCACCCACCCCAATAACCTCAATATATCACACTTACAAAATAATAACCTCAATATTATACGATATTCTCTTATATCTTTTTTAATAAGAAAATTTTAACGTGTGAAATACTTTAAACTAGATTTTCATAAAATGGCATGTTATTTTACCATTTTATGTTATATATTTTTTCCCTAAACTCATCTTCAACCGCATTTGATCCTGATGCTATTTTACCACTTGTGTTATATATTGTTTTTCTGTGCACTCATCTTCAGCCTCGTTTCATCCCTGTGATTCTGCTTGGAACATGGTGATCTTTTGACAACACATGAAATCTTATACAACATACAAAGAAAGAGTATGTGTGTCTACTATTTCAATATAGCAAAACAAATTTTCCAAATTATATTTTCTAGTAAATTCAAAGTGAAATTTCACTGTATTATGTTTAATATTAGTGAAAGCATTTTTATATTTGAACAGTGAAATTTTATTGTACAAATAATTTTTTAATTAATCGGTGGAATTATTATTGCTTTTTAAATTGTTTCATATAGATGTTAAAATATATTTAAGAACATCATTAACTAATTTGATGATTTTAAGATCAGTTTTTATATATATTTTTTTATAATCAATTTTGGGCCTTGTTTATTTGGATATTTGATGATATGAAAAACCAGAAGTATTGTGATAATTTTAGAGATTGTATATTTGAAGGTTGGTGAAAACATTTGTATATTTCAGAACACATTAAATAATTTTATTTTTTTTTAAAAAAAAAAAAACATATTTTGTGAGTTGCCAAGGACGGTAACTGGCGGGACGTGAGATATTCATAAATTTTGAAACTTTTTTTTCCATATTTTTTATTTTCGATATTTTTGAAACAATAAACATAATGTTATCAAACATAACATGATCATTTGAATAAAATAATTCCACACCAAAAGCCAATCCCTGTTCTGTATAATCATTAACATATATGTAGCAGTACAAAGTGGGAGAAGAAAAGGAAGATAAGGAAACAGATCTAAATAAAAACAAGACAGTTGTCGAAGAAGAAGAAAGAGCAAAGTCCTAGACTCTTTGTATTCATTTTCATCGATTTTTAAATAATGAACGAAAAAAAGAAAACACAGGAAGCGCCAATGGAAGGATGCTACCAGGAAGATCCATCCCAGACAAATCTAACATGTATTTCTATTTCAATTTGTTACGAACATAGTTTTTTATTTTCGATATTTTTGAAACAATAAACATAAATGTTATCAAACATAACACGATCATTTGAATAAAATAATTCCACACCAAAAGCCAATCCCTATTCTGTATAATCATTAACATATATGTAGCAGTACAAAGTGGGAGAAGATAAGGAAACAGAAGAGAAAGATCTAAATAAAAACAAGACAGTTGTCGAAGAAGAAGAAAGAGCAAAGTCCTAGACTCTTTGTATTCATTTTCATCGATTTTTAAATAATGAACGAAAAAAAGAAAACACAGGAAGCGCCAATGGAAGGATGCTACCAGGAAGATCCATCCCAGACAAATCTAACATGTATTTCTATTTCAATTTGTTACGAACATAGCAACGAGTCACAGAGCTGGACACAAAATACCCATAAATATACAAGAATATACAAAGTTTTTGTAAGTGGAATACACTTTTGAAAATTCTTATTGGTTTATATGCATGCATTTTGTGTCCAATTTTGTGATTAGTTTTTGTGTTCGTAGACTTACTTGTTTCTATTCATGTTGTATGCACTACCTGCTTCCTCCATTGCTAACTTTCGCTCTCGAGCGCACATTGGTATCCTTCACAGAGCCAGTCTCCAACTTAGGGGGACCAGAGAGCCTCCTTGATCCTGCAGGAAAAGATGGGTATGAAAGCCGCTTTCTTGCAGAACTGGCCAATCCCTTCTCGGGCATTTCATTTCCCGATGGGCTTGGCAGCCCGGACTTCATTTTTGCTGACTTTTTGGGTGTCATATGACTCGAACCAGGAAAACTTGCTACGCTCTTGACATCTCTCACAGATGACCCTCCAAAGCTATGCCTCCGGTACCTCTCAGACTCGACACTAAGCACGCTTCTCAAATCATCGTCCCCACCATAAGCGCTCCCCTTGGAGCTCCCTGGCTTTGTTTTTGTAGCTGGTGATGGAGCCTTGGAAATGGGAGTCGAAGATGTTAGCCGGATGGGAACGCGGCTCGTTTTTTGTGTGGTTGGAGAGGGCTTATTATTATCGAGGTTGAGACCCTGATGAGAATGAGGCTTGTTGAGATCACTGACAGAAATGGCACAGCTTGTTGAACTCTTTACAGAGGCATGGTCACTGTTAAGTTCTCTATCAAGGGCGTCTCTAGTTTCCCATGGCCGGGCTGCCATCCATCGCTCTAACCAACTCCACCCCCACTGGGGATTGTTTGGATCCATGTATGTTGGCTTTGCAGATTTTGATGAGGTCTTCCATGTTTGCTGTTGCAGAAAATGTTATACAAGTTTTACTTCTTCTCCCGGTTCAATATTAAGAAACAATATTCTGAGCATCAATTAGTTGTTCGGAAAACACACACACACAAACACGGTCAATTGTGAGCTCCACTTGGTACTTTAAAAGGAAAATCCAGGAAACTAACTAAGAAAAAACAGTTATCCACTTCTCTCATGCTTGTGAAGCTGCTACAACTTACAAGCAAGATATGCAATGAAACAAAGCAGAACTCTGATATTACTGCATAACCATGTAAGTGAAAGATTTCATTTTTTCCACAATTCATTCTAGAGACAACTTACTTAAGAAGTGAAGAATATGGATCTATGGGATCTAACTTTTCCACTAATCACATAATTTTAATACTCCCTTCATCCCAAAATATTAGTCCCTTATTCCATTTTTCATTGTTCCAAAATATTAGTCCCTTTTCAAAAATTAAGTACAAAAATAGTATAAATTTCCTATTTTGCCTTTCTTTTAAATTCATTAACAACATAAAAAGTATAATTATGACATTGATATTCCCCAAAAAATGTACTATCAAAGGGTAATTTTGAAAAATTAAATTTTTTAAAGTACAATAATTGTATTACCAAAAAAAGTTAGATTCCCCAAAAGAGACCATTATATTGGGACAGAGGGAGTAAAAATATTAACCTTAATTAACTGCTATATCTTACTGTCAATATGATTGTGAGAATTAGCAATAGAAAGGAGAGGAGAGAATAAGGATAGTAAGACATCATATGTGCTTGATTGAACTCAGAACCGTATGCTAATCTAGCTTATGTTATGTATACTTCGTATTTTAGAACTGAATCTCTGTTTCAAAACTATAACTACTATCTATGCCTCTACTCGCTAAGCTGTCAAGCTGACCCATTGTTTTAACATTTTCAGAAAGAGAGGACCCAGGCGCGGACTTGTGGGCTTATGTTGGGACCCATTTCTTGGACCTCTATAATTGCATGTTTATCTTTTTATAGATCTTCTTACTCTCAATATGATTACGAGAATGAGTAATATAAAGGAGACGAGAGAACAAGGATTATAAGATATCACAAGTTCGTAGTGACAAATCAAACCCTATTAAGAATTTTGCTAATTTAGCACTGCATGTAATCCTTTCAAATTGTCCAACATGAAAGAAAGTTAAGCTTAGCTTTAAGAAAGAATGGGTGAAATACCTGGCGGGAGTACGCATAAGCCAATGCCCTTTCCCTTCTCACAGCAGCCTCCTGCCTGTTCTGTAGCTTACCTTCAATTTGCTCCTTAGATTGGGCACTACTATTCCAATCTTCTCCCCCCTATTATAATATTGCAAAATGTATAAAGCACAAAAAGAACACATATCCTGTGTGACGACGACCTTTTTTTCTACTTCTTTTCACATTTCCATCTAGACTCTTGTACGTCTAAGAAGCACGGACGCAGACTTGACATGAACATAAATTATATATAAAAAAAAAACACAACAAGAGAGGGACATGAGCAAAATACATAATTTTATATATTTATTATATGTCATATTTTTTAATATTATATGTTTACTCTGTGTCGAAAATTTATTCTCATCAAATTCATCAACCTTTGATATAATTGGTGCAAAAATAAGAAAAAATGGGACACCTCTTGTCTCCAAAGTGTCCCAACGTGTCCGTGTTTGACACGTGTCGGACACAAGGTATTCGTACTTCATAGATATGCATGCAATGTTTCAATGGTACAAGGCACAAAAGAGAAAAGGAGTTACCTTAAATCAGATTAAAGACATGATGAGCAAATAAAACAATGTTTGAAGTTTCAACATTTTGTGATTGTTTTCAATTTTGAATCTTGACCTCAATCAGCCAACATTTGATTTGAAAATCTAAGATGGTTCGCTCTAGACAGTAATGCAGAATAGACACGTCGCGAATTGATAAAACTGCAGTTATGAATTTGAGAAAAACAAAATGCAAAACCCCTACACTTTCATGCACAGACACACAAATCACAAAATTCAAGTGTTTTAAAATTGCACTCACTGAAGTTCTCAACTTCTCGATCTCTTTCTCATGTTTTTGTTGGAGCTGTCTCTGGAGAGCCTGGTTCTCTTCTCTCATTCTGATCCTCCTGGCACGAACCTGAGACTGCACACGAGCCAGAGTCTGCATGCATTGTAAGGTGGTTGTGGATTGACGTTTGACAGATTGCCCTTGTATCAAAGATTTCAACCTCACCAGCCCTCTCAAGGCCCTCAATGCCCTCCTTGCCTAAGAAACATTGAACCCAATTCCCAGTCAAAAAACACAAAATAGTAGACACTTTTTTCTTAACATACGACAAATTCATATTGCTCGTATTTGACATTTTTACATGGAATGCTTTCCATAGCTGACAGAATACCATTGTTGCTAACACTTAAAAAGATAATGGTGATGGAAGATGATTTTTGCATTCATTAGGAACCAGAGATTCCCACAATATATTCTCATAGAATGGCTAGAGCAAGTCTAAACAAGTTCTCAAAGCCAACAAAATGAATTCATAACCACAAGTATTTGCAGTAAACCTACTAGCATTTTTATCAAAAAAAAAAACGCTTACTCGCGTGCACAATTCACAATATATGAACTTCTCGAATTATACAAATATGGGCATTTCCAAGAAACAGATTTGCTTAAAATGACAGTGATCATACCAAGTATCCTCGGAATGCAGTCTGAATCTTGATTGCTGCTACTTCCTCCTCGGATTTACCCAAGTAACGGGCCGAATTTGTGAGCCAAACAACCTCCGCAGCAGCCTGAGCGGCTGCAACAGCAGCCTCTGCAGCTACAGCAGCAGTAGTAAGAGCCACAGAATAAGCATGCTCATCCTGCTCATTTTCAACTTCTGTTAATTTTTCCTCCTCTCTAGGAGGAGTGGCAGGGGCGGACAATGCAGGCACTGCAGGTGGAGAGCCCAGATCTGGGCTCTCATGTTTCCCAAACGATTTGCTATTCGATCTACGGGTTTTCTGCTAAGAGAATTGCACAACGCTCAATTACAATTCTACACCAAACATACACACATACGCATGTACAAATATACATACAGGTTATAAAATAAAATGAAATTTTAAATAATCTGAAACCTTATCTGTCTTCCCCTTAGATTCAGGAGTGAGAGCTTTCTTCAATGCAGAAATCCAGCTCCCTTTCTTTGTCATTTCCCAATCAATTCATCTTGAAAAACACAAAAGGCAGTATATGGAATTATAATTCCAAAATATAGGAAATGAACAAAACTAAATGTAGTAAGCCATTGTTGTTTATTTTATTCATTTATTTTGGGTTAAACTGTAGCAGATTATTTACAAATGTCAATTGAACTATATGAAAATGAACAATCAACCCATGCAAAAAAATCCAACACCACATACTTGCAAACCCAATACCAACATTAATACAAGAAAGAGCCCCATGGGAAGAAATAAACAACTTGAAGAGCCCCTAATAGGAAAGATCAATCAATCTAGTTAAATTCACAAATTTTAATAGAAAATCTAAATTTTGGGAAACAGATCTGCAATGAAAACAGCCAATTTGTCCCAATTATTAACGATTTAAAGGAAAATTTCGAATATAAAATAAACTTGTGCCCAATCCAACAAATATATATATATATATATATATATTTTAAAACACCAATTAACCAATTCATTGAACAGGCAACAAATGGTGCAAATTGCAATACCCATATATGAAATTGCAAGATATTCACAATAAGCATGATACCCACATCAAATTTTCCAAATAAACAATTTCCACAAGAATGCCAGAGAAGAAGAAAAAACACACAAATTATTAAGAAACCATCAAACTAAATGGGAAAATTCATAAATAAAGCCAACACATCAACTGTCGTTCCAAGAAATTTTTTTTAAAAAATAAAATAAATGTAGCAATACCCATTAAAAAAAAAAATCACAGCGAAATAGAAATTTGTTTATACTGAAGAACAAAAATTTATAATCTAATCAAATTCAATACCTCAATAATTAAGTACCTAAACATGAAATGTGAATTATTTACAGGAAACATGAAACCCAATTCAATAATTCCGATTCAACAAACTTTATGAATATACCCCACAAACAGAATGGACACAAAGCTATCAAACAATGTTTCGCTTTCACATTATCAGGAAAGTAGTGAAAAAGATTTGGAACCTGCAAATGGCTTTTTTTGGAGAATGCAGATCTGCAGGCCTTGATTCTTCCTTTCTCTCCCTCTCTCTCCACAAACCAACAACGACAAAAATATCAAACAACACCAGTCCACAAATGAGAGAAAGAGAGAGAGAGAGAGAGATTGACACAGAAAACTTCAACTATAGGAAAAACGATAGGTGGGGTGGCAATATCAGATAACGGTGACGGTGACTTTTTCTTGGGTGGCATGATGATGTGTATGTAATTAATAACTTTATATTTTTTTAGGAGACCGTTATTCTCAATTAGTTTGCTCTAATTTATTGAGGCTCCGTTTGGCAAGAGTTAAATGGAGTTTTTTTTGGTTATTTTAGTCACAAAAGATAAAATAAGTTATTTTAGTCACAAAAAATAAAATATCATATCCAGCCCATAATCATTACATTCTTCTCTCACCAAAAACGTCAAAAAAGTCAAAAAGCCCTTCCCAAACCAAACTTTTAGCTCAGACTAAAATAGTTAAAAAAGTCAAAATACCCAAAAATCAACCCACTTCCCAAACGAAGGCTTAGTTTTTTTTTTTTGGTTCCTTATTACATACAGAAATGAGTACATTTTGAATAAAATGAATTGAGAATAATAATTATATATAATAAGAATAAAAAAAAAATTGTACGTTAAATATAGTAGAGTGAGAATAACAGTTCATTTTTTATACCATTATAAATTTAAGACACCTAAGACAATTTATATTAAAAAATATTAGTTTTTATTACTTGTTTATTAATTATTATTTAATAAGGAGTATTACTACCTTTTCAAATAAAAGAACCACAGTAGAGACTATAAAAAAAAATTGAAAATTACAAATGAGTGTATTTTATAAAATAATAATAATAATTACTAATTTCACCAATGTTAATGTTGGAAAAATTGGTTTTATAAGGTTAATTTTAGGTTATCTTTTAGCCTAAAATTGAATGGGTCCCAAATGTCTTTTGGAGCGGGTTCGAAGAGGTGACGTGTTCCTTGCTGCGTGGTAAGTCACACGGTGAATACGGTTAGTCAAAATCATTTATGAGTGAATCGGAAGTTGATGTCGTTTTCGAGTTCGTGGAATTGGAATTGGACATTTAAAGAATTAAATGTGAGTTTCCTTGAAAAATGTTGCCCCACATTGAAATTTTAAGAGAGCTTGTGTATGTGTATAAGGTCCCGTTTGTTTTCAGAGGTAGAATGGAGGGGATTCATAGTGAGGGAATTGTTAGTGAGGGGATTGATAGTGGGGGGATTAAGTAAAATTGTGTTTGTTTTGATTATAGTTGTTAGTGTAGGAATTGTTAAATTATTTTTATATAAAATAATAAAACAAATAAAAAAATATAAAAAATTAAAGATTAATGTTTATAAAAAAATTCCCAATATATAAAAAATAAAAAAAATTTCTAATCCCCTCACTATTTTTCTAATACCATCTCCACCTCCTCCATCTTAATCCCCTCCCCAACCTTCATCTATATCACCGCCACCATCCTAATCCCCTCCCTAACTCTACAAACAAATGCAACACTAAATAACACCTCCACCATCCTAATCCCCTTTCATCTACATAACCCAAAACAAACGGGCCCTAAACTCTAGAGTACAATACTTGGGTTGGGCTCCAAGGGGCACCTCAAGTTTGTAAAAGGGAGGAATTATGGACAAAATGAACCTTAGCTCAAACCACCACGCGCCGCTGGCCGAGTCGGGCGCCGATGTGGGTCAGGTCAGTTCTTATATTAATTTTTTAGACAAATTTTATTTGATTTTTTTTCAGAAATTCTTAATGAAATTAAATTCAAAGTTTGTGCCAAAAGTGAATTTCATTTTCTGTTTCCGTCCGAAATATCTAACTGATTAACTGCTCTAAACTACTGCAGTTATATACATTATCTGCCCAGTTCAAATAGGTTCATAAAGTTTGGACAGATCAACTATTCCAACAGTTATCTGTTTGAATAGTGCTTGCACCTGTCCAATTTAAATGTGCATCTGTTCACTTCAAATTAGCACCTGTTCGGACATAATGTTGCCTATAAATACCATTTTAATTCCAGCAGTTTGGGGATCCAATATTAGTCTGAAAAATATTTTTCCTGCTGTTCAAATTTTATCTGTTTGCATAAATTCTTCGTATTAGTCTTTAAGAAAATTAAAGAGAGTATAGAACACAAGGTTCTAGTTCGCCGGACAAATCTGTTTGGAGTGCTACTACAAATTTGTGAAGATCATTGTATCTTGGGAGATAGACGCCACTTAACCGTAAGCACCGTAGCGGGACAAATCTGTCTTAAGGACAGAGTGTCACACACTCGACTTGATCTTTTATTATTCATTCGGTTCGGTAAAATAAATTCCATAAGTTATTTATTTTATTTTGTTTGATTTAGTTTCAATTTATTTTTTACATAGAAGATTGTTCCAACAATCTTAAGACAGATTCGAATTATTTTGCTTACAAAATTTTTCGTTTATTTCCTTTCTTTTTTTTTCTTCTTATAGAAATTATTTTCTGTGATTTTACAAAATAATATTCTGGTTGGAAAACAAATAGTAGTAATATACTGTTTGACAGATAGTAGTAATATACTGTCTATTTTCTTTGACAACTAGTAGTAATATACTGGTGTCATTAACAATTCAGAATATTTATTTGTGAAAGTTGTTAGAAATTAATTTTGGTTTTCTTAAATAATTTTTGAGTGTTCATTAATTAAAAATAAATTCATTTTTTTTAATTATTGAAGTGTTACAGAAATTTAATTTTTTGTGTGGAATTAATTTAGTTAAATAAAATTTTATTTTATTTCCAAATTAATTGAAAAATAAAAGTTACATTCTTTTTTCTTTTATTTTTACAGAATTTAATTCTTTGAATTTGGATTAATTTTCTGTGTAGTATAAATTCTAATTATAATTTTATTTTATAATTTAGAATTCATGGCTACTGAAACAAATGCTCAAACGAGTACTGGAATGGTGGCTGTAATTGCGCCAACCCCCTCTCCTGTTGTGATAGTACCGGTAAATCACGGTGAAAAGCCAGAGAAGTTCTCAGGAACTGATTTTAAAAGATGGCAACAGAAAATGTTGTTCTATCTTACAACTCTGAACCTGGCTCTTTTCTCCGTGAGGATGCTCATATTTTGAAAGAGGATGAAACCAACCGGCAAGTGGTTGCTGCGGTTGATGCCTAGAAACATGTTGATTTCCTTTGCCGGAACTACATCTTAAACGGACTTGACAACACATTATACAACGTCTACAGTTCTATCAAGACAGCAAAGGAACTTTGGGAGTCTTTGGAGAAAAAATACAAAACAGAAGATGCCGGCTCAAAGAAATTTGTAGTTGGCAAATTCCTGGACTTTGTAATGGTTGATTCTAAAATTGTGATCAGCCAAGTTCAAGATCTCCAACTCATTCTGCATGACATTCACACAGAAGGCATGTCTCTCCGTGAATCCTTCCAAGTTGTAGCCTTAATTGAGAAATTACCACAAGGCTGAAAGGAATTCAAGAACTACCTCAAACACAAGCGCAAAGAAATGTCTTTAGAAACAGAAGATTGTTCCAACAATCTTAAGACAAATTCAAATTATTTTGTTTATATAGAATTTTTCGTTTGTTTCCTTCTTTCTTCTTGTTACAGAAATTATTTTCTGTGTTTTTACAAAATAATATTCTAATTAGAAAATACGAATAGTAGTAATATACTGTTTGACAGATAGTAGTAATATATTGTCTATTTTCTTTGACAACTAATAGTAATATACTGGTGTCATTAACACTTCAGAATATTTATTTGTGAAAGTTGTTAGAAATTAATTTTGGTTTTCTTAAATAATTTTTGAGTGTTCATTAATTAAAAATAAATTCATTTTTTTTAATTATTGAAGTGTTACAGAAATTTAATTTTTTGTGTGGAATTAATTTAGTTAAATAAAATTTTATTTTATTTCCAAATTAATTGAAAAATAAAAGTTACATTCTTTTTTCTTTTATTTTTACAGAATTTAATTCTTTGAATTTGGATTAATTTTCTGTGTAGTATAAATTCTAATTATAATTTTATTTTATAATTTAGAATTTATGGCTACTGAAACAAATGCTCAAACGAGTACTGGAATGGTGGCTGTAATTTCGCCAACCCCCTCTCCTGTTGTGATAGTACCGGTAAATCATAGTGAGAAGCCAGAGAAGTTCTCAGGAACTGATTTTAAAAGATGGCAACAGAAAATGTTGTTCTATTTTACAACTCTAAACCTGACTCGTTTTCTCCGTGAAAATGCTCTTACTCTGAACGAGGATGAAACTGACTGGCAAGTGGTTGCTGCAGTCGATGCCTAGAAACATGCTGATTTCTTTTTCCAGAACTACATCTTGAACGAACTTGACAACACATTATACAACGTCTACAGTCCTATCAAGACAGCAGAGGAACTTTGGGAGTCTTTGGAGAAAAAGTACAAAACGGAAGATACCGGCTCAAAGAAATTTGTGGTTGGCCAATTCCTGGGCTTTGTGGTGGTTGATTCTAAGACTGTGATCAGCCAAGTTCAAGATCTCCAACTCATTCTGCATGATATTCACGCAGAAGGCATGTCTCTTAGTGAATTCTTCCAAGTTGCAGCCTTAATTGAGAAATTACCACAAGGCTGAAAGGAATTCAAAAACTACCTCAAACACAAGCGCAAAGAAATGTCTTTAGAATAATTAATTGTGCGTTTGAGGATTGAGGAAGACAACCACAATTCTGAAAAGCGGGCTGGTAAGCATCCTATGGAGTATAAGGCAAATGTGGTGGAACATGCTCCAAAAGCAAAGAAACGGAAGTTTTTTGGAGAAAGTTCATCACAAGGCTCTAAAGGAGGGGAAATTAAAAAGTACAAGTTTAATGGCAAGTGTTACATCTGTGACAAAGAGGGACATCGGGCCAAAAATTGCCGTAACAAAGGCAAAAGCAAAAGAAGAACAAGCAAGAAGCCTGCTCAAGCCCATATGACCGAAGTGGACAATATTTTCAATGGTGTAGATGACATCAATCTTTCTGTAGTTGTTTCTGAGGCAAATCTTGTCGGAAATCCTAAAAAATGGTGGGTGGACACTGGTGCTACTCGCCACATTTGTGCTGACAAACAAATGTTCATATTTTATTCTACAATGGACAACGGTGAACAATTTTTTATGAG